AATGCCATCCAGGAAGGCACGGGGTCACCAACAACCTCCTAACATGGGACATACGTGGTGACTGTCCCAGAATGTCATGTTACTTACCACCACCAATTCATTTCCATTTTAAATTTTATTACATCAAAACAAAAACAAAAAACCTCCACAAACAACGCTCTAAAACCTAAACCACCTCAAGGACAGAAGATTATCATCAAGGTTCTAAGTAGCTCCACCCCCCCTCCCCCAACAAACTTACATTAAAAAATCCAAAAGAAATAGAAATACCAGCTTCAAAAATATTTATCCAAAAAGTAAGGCATCCACTTTACAAAAAAAAGTAACTGAAGGAGAAGAAGTTGAAGGAATGAGAAGAGAGGGAATAAGATGGTCCCCTGGCCCTCCAGGGGTCAACCTCAGCCTGCCGGGTGCCTTGGTTGAAGGGCCATTAACTCACACCTGAACCTGCCATATTTTGAACTTTGGGTCAGGCAAGCTGGGCAGGGAGCTGGGAGACCTGCTCTGGGCCTGGAAGGGCTCCTGGGTATTCCAGTTTAAGCTGATGGAGTGGGGGCGGGAGGGGGGCACTGCTCTGGGAGGAAGGGACCCTTTGTCCTCAGCATAACAGGTGTGGCTAGGGGAGCCAGGGCAGGGCCGGGGCAAACTCAGTGGCCTGCCTGCCTTTGAAGCACAGGACAGAAGCCTGCATACCTCAGAGAAAGGGCTCCCCAGAGTGGGTATGGTGCCAATCTGCCATTGCCCTTTCACCCTGCCTTGGGACAGGATGACAGGGAGACCAGAAGAGGATGGAGGGGTTATGTGAGTAGGGGGAGGAACTGGCCTTCAGAAAACACTTCCCAAACAGTCCAGAGTTTGTGGAATGGGCACCTCGGGGAGGTGGGAAATGCCCTTCCTCCCAGCGAAGGCATTTAATACCAGCTCTGTCCTGAGGGTTAGAAATACGGGAGTATTTTTAGGCCTAGTTCTTGGATGGGAGGTGACTTAAGGCTGATTTGGCTCTAAGTTCAGGCCCGAAGGGCTTGGGGATCCTTCAACCGAATCCCCCAGCCAAGTCCAGAGAAGAGGAAAAGGGCACGGGGAGGTGGCAGGCAGGGCTGGCTGTGTGGGTTTGCTGCAGGCATACCTGCAGGGGAGCAGGGTGACTGCTCCCCATAAGAGGGGGGAGTTGAGCTACTTTACCAGTAGGAGAGAGGTGTCCACTACCCTGAAAATAAGCAGCCTTTCTGACTTCAAAAAGCTCTGGCACCAGTTGGGGGCAGGATGCAGGAGGTAGGGGTAGGGCCAGCTTCTGCAGTCTGGGACTCTCCCTATGCTCCACAGGCCTGGCGTGGGTTAGTGGGAGGGACAGTTGGTCCTTAGCTCAGTGGGGAGATGGTATCCTGCAAAGAACCTTGCTCTGGACAGGAAGCCCAGGGTCTAGTGCATGGAGGGATGGTGTGAGAGGGTGGGGAAAGGGCCAGAAGGAAGCACCCCTCTGATTTTGGGGTCCCTGGATAATGGAAGGGGGGAATGGGCCTCCAGATGACCTTTCATGATGACAGATTTTCTTGAGTCTATGCCTCCCCAGCAACTCGCTGTGACTGTCATTTCTCTTTGAAGTGAGGCCCCATGGGCTCAGGAATGGGGAGGGAAGGCAGTAGTCAACTCAGGTTCCTGAAGTGGCAGCTGAAGGTGTGGGCCTGGGGGAAGGACCCTATGGGCCCCCCTTGGGACTTCCACTGTCCCCTAGTAGCTTTGAATGTGGGCAACCGTGGGTGGGAGCCTTGGACACAGGCTCTGGGGGTGAGAGGCTGGTTCTTTGGGTATAAATGTCAATGCCTTTGTTTACAATTTCTCAGAATCCACACCCAGGTTCTGCCCCTAACTGATGAAACAGTGTGTGTGTGTGTGTGTGTGTTGGGGGGACCCAGGCAGGAAAGGATAGAAATGGGGCAGAAGGAGGGCATAGCCAGCCAAGGGGCTGGTGGTCCTTAGGACTGAGGCTCCACCGAGTCCTTGTCCTTGGTGGGAGTAGGCTGGTAGATGGGCTTCCGCTGTTCGTCCATGTTCTCGTTCATCTCCTCTGTCTCTGAGGCCTCCTCCACCTCGGGATACACAACCACACACATCTTCTGGCTCACTAGGGTTAGCAACTCTGTGGGAGAAGATCACACAGAGACCAGATCAGTGCCAAGTGTCCCACCAACCTGACCAACTGGGCCATGGTTCTTCCGGCCTTTCCCGCTTCAGGTTTTGCCTCAGCAGAGAAGCCAGAGCCTCTAGGGGACTCCCTGTCCAGCAGATGACCACCTACTCTGCCTCCTGCATCTTCTATCAGCTGCCCCTTGCTCACCAGAGCCCCCAGCCTTCCACCTTCCCTCTACCCACTGCCCCCAAAGTCAGGGTCTCTGTGGTTGTCCACCCAGCCTGGGTCAGCTCCTGCAGGTGGCTGACAGGGGACCTACTCTCACAGGTCTAAGGCTTGTGTGGATGCAGTCACACAGTTAGCTGATCTTTTTTTCTGCCAAGGTCTCCACCTTTCCTGCTCTGATTCCTTCTCCAGAGCTCTGTGGACTCCGGTGAAGGCGAGTCAAGGCCTCCTGATCTGGTGGGGCTCCCCACCAGACCACTAACCTCTTCACCCCAGAATAGAAGGGCCCTCTGGCCACTCAGAGCCTTCAGTAACTCACCAATGAAGTCGTTGAAACATTTGGGCTTGTGTTGCCAGTAAACGCCCAAGAAATAGACGGGTACTCCTGTCAGCATGATGGCCAGGCCAATGCCACACACAATTGGCTCCGACCACAAGCTGAAGACCAGCAGAAAGGCCCAGAACAGCAAGTAGATGATGGGAAACAGCAGGTTGATCTGCGGAGCAGAGGTGCTGTGAGCTGCGTGATCCCCAACGCTCCCAGGCAGGGTACCCTCTCTCCTCGCCCACAACCTTGAGGGCAAAGGATGGGCTTCCCTCAGCTCTGCAGCTCCCAAACCCCAAGCCCCAACAGGGCAGGCACTATGACAACAAATGCTGGTGAACCTTGGCGGTAGGCCAGGAAGAGGACGAGGCAACTAGGGAGGGAAGGATCCTCACTGCCATGTCCTCCCTTCTGGGTAGGAGCAGACAAGGCCTCACTATCTTTGCGGGGTCCTGAGGCGGCAGGGAAGCTTACTGGTGTACACCAGGACCAGCTGCCGAGGTCTGAGGATTGGGGAGAGATGAAGCAGAAATATAGGGAAGGAGAAAATGAGCTGGGCCAGTCCGGCACCCTGCTCCTTGCCCACTTTTAGGCAGGGTCCTCTTCTGGGTACAACATGGCAAATGTCCATCCTTGTCACAAGCATCCATCACAATTTATTTCTCTTTAGCAATCTGAGAAGACAAACCTACCAAGACGCCCCAAAATCAAGAAATCTAGCATAGTATTAGGCAGTCTGTGTCCTTGACAGAAAGAAGCATCAATTCCAGAGGCTTCTGGTTCAGGACTCTAGAGGCAGTCCTGACTCAGCCGTCTTTATCTTCTTTGCCTGCTCCTCTGAGGGGATGCATGAGGTGGTGAGACAAGGTTATTTTAGCTCTTCTTACCTCTAGCAGATTTCCCAAGTGTGGGAGAAAGTGGCAGTGAAAAATGCCAGTAGGGAACTGAGCAACCTGGAGAGCCCTTGATTTCTTGGTTGGAAGACTCTCCTAGAAGCATCTAGTTCTTTCTAGAACAGGGCTGGCTGAAAAGTTCCAGGCTATCCTCTATTCTTCTCTTGCAGGAGGACCCACAATGCTCTAGCATATCTTGTTCTGAGCAATCCCATCCACTCCTATTACAAAGTTATTTCTTGCAGCAATCGTGAGCTTCACCGAGCACCCTACTGTGGACAGAGGCACAGGAGTTTAAGAAGGGAGGATCATGGAGGGCTGAAGTGTGCAGGAATGCTTCGAGAAGACAAGGGACTTGAGGTCCATTGAACAATGGTTAGAATTTAAATAGACAGAGGGGAGGAGGACACATTCTGGGACGGAGTCAGCACATCGCAAACCCAACAATCTGGCGAGATAGGGCGACCCCTCCAGCTAGGTGAGAGTGCCTTGAAAAGTTAGTTGGCATTTAAGACTGAGTGGTAGGAAACAATGAGATGATGTAACCTTTAACCTAACTTATTTCCCAGCTGCACTTGTTCTGGTCCTGTCCCCCCAGTGGAAAATGAAAATGGCTGTCCTACTTGCACATGGCCTTGGCTTCAGATGGGCCTGCTACCATCAAGAGATGATGAGCTGCGACCAGCAGCTAAGAGCAGGGGTGACTGAGCCGAGGTAGAAACAGCAGAGGATGGGGAGAGGACCCCAAAGGGAGGTTCTTCTCACCTTGATGGGGCGAGGGATATCAGGCTTCTTCCAGCGAAGGACTATTTGTCCAGCAACTGTGACCCCATAGAAGAGGTAGTTGATGAAGCCCACGTAGTTGATGAGCGTGTACATGTCACTGGTGACCAGCATCAGCAGAGTGGAGATGCACTGGGGGTGTGGGAGGAGCTCATCAGTGATTTCATTCCAAGACTGGAGGAAGTGCTTATTGTGTACAAAGGGCTGCTCCCCAGCCTCCATGAAGACAGTGCCATATTATAATGGATATCTCAAAATGGAGACTTCACAACCTCCCCTAGTAACCCAAGCTGGAACATCTTCCTTGCTAGAAAGCTCTTGCTACTGCAGGAGGAATCATCAAATCCGTAAGCACTGGAATTGTACAGGCACTAACCAATCAGAATGTTCTCTGCCATAACCAGCTGGTCCGGCGACACTGGTGTTGCTGGCTGGCTCTGTGTCAGTCCTGATCTCATTTACACTTCTCTCTTGGGTATAGATCGAGCTAATTTCTTTTTTTCATCCCTTAGGGAAGATTGGTAACTTCAGATTAAGGTTTAATTCTTGCCCTCAGACTTTTCTCCTGGCTGAGTCATCCAATGTATTTTTTCTTCCTTCCTTTCCTTCTTCCTTTCTAAGGTCATAAAAAGTTATATAGCATTCACTATAGGCCAAGTCCTCTATTCAGTATTCTATAAATATTAACTCAGTTAGCCATTCTAACACATTTATGAGGTTTTCAAGGTAGAGTCCACTTTTCAACTACAAATCATCTCTGTGGCTCTTGGAACCAAGCTCTTCCCCTCTGATTTGTGAGGGGAATAAAAGGTTTGGCTCTCTGGGGCTAGCAGGAGGCATAGTGGTTTAGGTGCTGGACATGGCCAACTATGGTTCAAGTCCTGGACCTGGCAGCTTAAAACTCATGCCAGGCGTGTATGCATGTGTGCCCAAAATCCCAGGAGGAGAGTGAAGGACAAAGGATTGTGGCATGGCCATCCCCCCCAGGGGAGATTTCTTGCTTTCACTCTCACTATCTGTCTCTCCTCTCTAGTGAATAAATGCACCCCATGGCAAAAACTAAAAAAAAAGTTTCAGTTCTCCTTTGAGATCTGATGGTGAGAATAATGGGGATTTGAATGGGTGACTAGGCCTGGTTTTCGTTGTATTTGCCTTGCAGTCCTCGTATTGCACCAGCCACTGCCACTGAAGAAAGTGTGTGGCCCGCTGGAAGTACCGTCTTCTGCAGCCACCATTCGTAGCCAGCCAGTTGGGATGACCTTCCTCCTGTATCTGAACGTTTCAAAATCGCCCTAATGCTGTACGATGCCCTTGACTTCCACGAGCTCTGTTATCCTGATTTCTAACTGCCTCTCTGGTACACAAAGTCATTTTTCGTTTTATCCAAGGTTCAAAAGGAAAAGAAACATAACTCAGATGTCTCTTTGCTCCTTTTTCCAGCTCTAAATGATTCTTTGAGAACATTTTATCCTCATTTCCTCCCTAGCCTGTTTCCTTTTCTTCACCTTCAGTTTATCAATCTCTCTTTATGATTTTTCTTATTTGGTATACCCTGCACACTGAATCTGCTTCAGTGATGTTTCCAGCAGGGTGCCCTGGGGCTGGAAGCTTGATGGGAAGGGGCAGGTGTGTGCAGTGAGCGGCCAGGAGCAGAGGCCCAGCACTGCAGCCCCGAGGTAACAGGTACGAGGAGGGCTGAGAGAGACGTTTCTTCATGAGGCTGTATAGGCCTCAGGCAATCACTTCTGTCTGACTCAGTGGATGGGAGAGCGGAACCGAGCCAGCCTGGGAGCCTGAAGGTGATTTAGATCTCGGGATCATTCCTTGCCTTCTCTCTTGATGTTAATAAAGCTGATCAAAACGATTGGCCAGATTTTCCAAGACCTAGTGAAACCTGTGTGCAGACCAGAAGGGTGACATGGGTGTATGTGGGGAAAGTGTGACCCTCCAGCTGACACCAAGAGCAGAAGGAGGTATGTAGGGTTGGCAGCAGAAGAGGCCCTTACTGTGAAGAGCAGGGCTGGGATTGGGGTGCATCGCTTCACGTGGATCATGGCCAACACGCTGGGAAGGTGACCTTCTCTGGCTCCAGCAAAGAACAGCCTGCCAGGGAAAAAAGCAGATCAGCCTGAGACAGCCTGTGGACCACCAACCCCAAGCTCTCTCATCCATGCCCACCTTCTGTATCCCCCTCCAACCAGGTGCCGCCTTCCCATGCACACTGTCTAGTCCAGGAGTCACAGGACCCGTGTCATGAAGGCAGGTGTAGGCAAGCCAGAGGCAGCAGGGTCAAGTAGATAGGTCATGGGTGCATGGAGACCCTCGGTGTGGTCTAGTTGGCTCAGGGGCATTAATGATTGTATTGTCACTCTGCGGACAATCACAATACCTAAAAGGCAAGGCACAGCCTCTCTCCTTTGCCTAATGTCATCATCCCTTTGAAATGTGACTCCCCTGGGACCAGCAGATGATGTAATGGTTATGTCGTTGAACTCCCACTGAGTCAACTGCAGTTCGAGTCCTGGACTAGGCAACTTAAAACTCATGCTGGGTGCATGTGCATGCATGCCCAAAATCCCAAGAGAAGAATGGAGGAGAAGGATTATGGCATGGCCTTTGCCCCTGGAGGGCGGTGTGTGATTTCTCGCTTTCTCTCTGTCTCTCTTTCTTTCCAGCAAGCGCGCACGTGCCCTATAAAAAAAATAATAAAAAAAGAGAAATGTGCCTTCCTATTCTCAAAGAACGCAGATTCTCTGATACACAGAAAACATGAGACTTTCTTTTCCTGGTCAGAGAGTAGTTAACTCTGTGGGCTGGGTACAAATTCTAGGTTAAAGAGGGGCACTTGGGCACTCCAGGACATGCTGAAACTTTATCTTGCTTTGGGTGTTGCTTCTGAGGCCGTCCGCCATTGTCAAGGCCCATCAAGTGGAATACTTATGTTATTGTATATAAATTGTACTTTTACATCCTTCGCACTACTTACTCTATTCTCAAGAAGCCTAAAGAAATGAATAGAGGGGCCAGCAGGTGGTATGGTTCCCATATGGCTTTCTCACTTTCCCCCTCTCTCCCTCTCTCTCGTGAATGAATAGTAATAATAAGTAAAATTAAATAATTATTAAAAAAAAGAAAGAAATAGAGAGGAAGTGAAAGGTATACATGTAAAGCTATGATGATGATAAGAAAAAGGTAGAAATAGTCTAAATACCTAAAAGTCTGAGACTAGTTAAATAAATTATGATATATACACAAGATGGAATATTATACAGTCATAATATTTTAGAAAAAATTATTATATGAAAACATATTCACAATGTACCATTAAATTAAAAAAAGCAGAATCAAAAACTATATAATATATAATTTTCTAAAAAATATTTAAAACCATGCTATCTCTGTTATTACAGTCGCAAACAAAATTATGACAAATATTTTGACATTTATCTCTAAAATTCAGTTTTTTGAAATTTTGAAAGCTTATCTATTACTGTCAAGAACTATGGAGTATGAGCAAAAGTTTTTGTTATATAAAGTAAATGTGGGAAAATGTAAAAAAAATTAAAATTATACCTTTTTTTTTTGGAGAGGTTTTCGCCATAGGGCGCGTGCACTTGCCAGACAGACAGAGACAGAGAGACAGAAAGCGAGAAATCACCCCTCAGGGTGTATGGCCACGCCGCGATTCCTTCTCTTCCATTCTCCTCTCGGGATCTTGGGCACGCACACACACGTGCCAGGCGTGAGTTTAAGCCACCGGGTCCGAGACTCAAACTGCAGTCGACTACATGGGAGTCTAGCGACATAGTCTAGCGACATAGCCATTACACTAACTGGTGGTCCCAAAATTATACCTTTTTATGAAACTTTATAATAAGCACACATTGCTAGGAAAAAATATATATAATATATAGGCATGTAAAAATACATTAAAATATATTATAATACATAAACCAGAAAATGCAAACTGATTTCTTTTTTTTTAAATTATTTTATTTAGCTTTATTTATTTATTTACTTATTTTATTTTCACCAGAAAGAACAAGAGGGAGAAGGAAAGTGAGAAAGCAAGCTGCCAGGTCCAGGACTCAACTGTGATCAACCATGTGGGAGTCCAGTGCCCTTAACCTCCACGCCACCTGCTGGCCCCATTGCCAACTGATTTCTATGGGAAGCAGTATTACAGGTGGTTTTCATTTTCTTTCTTATACTTTATAGGAATAATACAGAGAGATGCCATGGTTTTTTTTTTTTTCTTTAAATTAAAAAAAAATTATTTTGTCTTGGGCCAGCAGGTGGCATGGTGGTTAAGGCACTAGACTCCCACATGGCTGACTGAGGTTCAAGTCCCAGACCTGGTGGCTTGTTTTCCAACTTTCTCTCTGGATGCTTACTTTTTCTCTTGCTCTCTCTCTGGTGATCATGCATATCCTACAGCAAAAATGTAAAAATAATAATAATAAATGAAATTAAATAATTAAACATTCATGTTAGTTTTATTTATTATTTTTTAAACTTGTGTTCACTAGAGGGACCAGCAGGTGGCATGGTGGTTAAGGCGCTGGACATTCCCACATGGCTGATCACAGTTCGAGTCCTGGACCTGGCGGCTTGCTTTCTCATTTTCCTTCTATCTCTCTCTATCTCTATCTCTGTGTCTCTCTCTGGTCAAATTAAAATAAATGAATGAATAAACAAAATTAAATAATTCTTTTTTTAAAAAATTTGTGCTCACTAGAGAAAGAGAGGGGGAAAGAGAGAGAGAAAGTGAGTTGCCTGGTCTGGGACTTGAACCGTGGTCGGCCATGTGGGAGTCCAGTGCCTTTACCACACCACCTCCTGGCCCCAGATGCCGTGCATTCTTTACCCAGTTTTCTCCATTGGTAACATACTGCAAATGTACAGTGCAGGAGCAGAACTAGACTATTAATATTTAAAAGCCATGGTTAAAGGCCGGCGATGGTGCACAGCGGGAACACAGTGTTCTGTGAGGCTGAAGCCATATGGGAGGTCTAGGTTCATGGCCTGAGCTCTCCTTGTACAGGCCAGGAGCACGTCCATGAGCCTGGGTGCGGTTTGAGGTGGACTGCAGCGTTAGCCCCCGCTGGGCCTCTATCTCTGTCTCTGTGGATGTGTCTCTTACTATCTCATGGAATGAAATAAACTTTAAAACTATTTTTTTTAACCTAAAAAAGCAGTCCTCCTTCTCTCCCAAGAGAGAAAAGAATTTTCCACACTGTTAGCATATTTACATGTTTACATGTTAGTGGGAATTAGACCACTATTTCTTTTTTCTAGGGAAAAGAGCACCTAAGGGATGAGAGGAAGGAAATGGTGTGACAGGGACAGAAACATATGGAATCAGCACACTGGGAGGTCTGAAGACAATTGCCACTTACTTTGTAATTTGCGTGACAAGCTAACAGCAGCAGCTTGTCAGAGTGTGGGTGTTGACTGTGGCCCCAAGTCCCCATAAGCAGCTGCCATCATGAACTACCAAGGCCAGTGTCACTGGTTTCATGCAGCCACACGCACCCTGCGCCCCCATGCTGTTGCCCCTCCATACTGCAGCCTCATGCTCCAGACTCAGCCAGCTCCGTGAGCCTCGTCGTGCACACAGCCCGGGCGCGCCTTCACATCCTTCCTCCACATGCAGCAAGGACCGAGTGTAACAGTCCAGGTCTGACAGCACTTCCAAGTGTCAAGTTCACAGGAGACAATCCTTGCCCAGCTAGCCGACCACAGAGGAGACAATGACATTAAGCATGACACACACCCACACACACTCCGACTCCTCAGGAAGGATCATCCTCTCCATACACCAGGACACAAAAGAGGAGAAGAAAGAAGGAGGAAGGAAAAAAGGAACTAGAAGATGAGCAGAAGAGGCCTGGGTGAATGAGGTGGTGCCCCTGAGTCAGAGGCTGAGCACACCATGCACCACCATCGTCTGCATGCACACGCAACCCTACCACATGCACGCAGACCACTGCTTGGCCTGCCTGAGGGACAAACCCCACTCTAAAGTGACTGTAGCCAGGGAGCCTCATGGGTCACTGTCTTCCACTGTTGCCCTCGGCGGGGGCCTCCAGGTGGCCACTGCTCCTGTATAACACGCACACACGGTTGCTGTGGGTGAATGTCACTGGTTTCTAGGGTACAGGGAATACCCATGCTACCTCTTTCTTGCCCTGGGGCCTGAAAACATGGCATTCCCTTTCACTTCTCAAAAACTTACTGATGTGCTGAGTGGCTCTGGAAGCAGAGCTCAGGGATTCATCTTGAGTAGAACTGTACCCTCAGGTCAGGGAGGTTTTCTAAGGACCTAGGGAAGACCCCTGGGACCACGAAGATGGGACTCAGCCAACATCCGCAAGCCTCAACTGCCCACTTAGGAGACGGTGAAAAGAGACATAGAGAAGGCCCAGGTCCCTGGCCGAGTGGAGGCAGGAGCTGAGTGCTGCTGGATCCCCTTGGGTTTCTGGCATTCCAGAGCATTTTGGGGATAGGGGTTGTGGTCTCTTTTGAACAAATGTTTTCTTTCTGCTCTTCCCACCCCTCTCACTTCACAGTTCTCCATGCAAAGACCTCCCACGGCAGCCACTTTATTGAACGGAGAAGAGCCTTGCATTCTTAGCACACTGAGTGATCTCATCCTGCCTGCAGCCTGGTTCTAGAATGTTCATGGGAGGTCAGACTTGGAGGCCCGCAGGCATAAGTGTCCCTGACGCACACGTGCCTGGAGTGTCTTTCATGCCCCTGGGTCAAATATTCTAACTGCATCGCCATCTAGGTGGCATTTGGCTCCCTTTCACAGTGGGGTTCCTTTCTAGCCAGGCAAGTAGAAAAGTGGGCTCTGGGACTACAGCTAAGATGCCATCCTGCTGCCAACCGCAGTCCCCAACCTGGGGCTGCATCGGCAGGCTGGAGGCCTCCTCAGCTCTCTGCTCCTTTTGAAATGAGGTGCGGGCTACTCTATGTGAAGCACCTAAGACCTGCATGCTACACACATCGTAGGTCACGTGAGTAGCACACACCCTCAGCATCCACACGGACATGTAAGCCCTCAGCCCGCAATTGCCCCTCTGCAAGGCCATCACCGAAGTGTCCACACAGACCCCCGCTGACAGAGACAAATCCACCAATACACACAGAGCAATGTGCACAGCAGAGCAGCCCCTGGCCCAGGGTAGGGGTCTTCCCAGGGTTGGGGGGTTCCCAGGTAGGACTCACCGGGAGGAGGTGAAGAGAGACCCATTAACTCCTCCGAATGTGGAAAGGGCCACGGAGATGGGCATGATCCAGGCCATGACTCCTAGGAGCTTCTCTCCAAAAGTCTAGGAGAGAAAACGAGAGGGTGAGAGCAGAAGAGAGGTTCTGACACCCCCACCCTCAGCCTGCACTTCTCCCTGGGGAATACGTCTCTGTAGTCTCCATCCTTGCTGATTCTCTCGGGCTAAATTCCTTAAAGGCTTCCCACAGTGGGGAGTAGCTACATGTTTTAGGCTACTTTACCGAAGGAGACACTGTGTAGAGGAAATAATAAGAATGAACTAACACGTATTACCCTTGTTTCATGGTGAGGAAACTGAGGCACAGAGTGATTAATAGCTTGCCTAGAATCACACGCCCACGAAGGGAAGGGGCCGGGTTGGAGGCCAGGTTGTGTGAGTCCAGGCCACATATATACCATATGATTTCTGCAGCATAGGGAGAGGCGTAGGTTTGTGAGTCAGACAGATCTGAGTTCAAATCCTAGCCCTCATCTAGGAGTTGTAAGCAAGGTAATTTTTGAACTTCTGTTTTCCATCTGTAAAATAGGGATGAACCCTAATTCCTAGAGAAAGAATGTCTAAATTCATAGAAATAGAAAAACAGTAAGAACGAGCTCCTCCTTAGGCTGAGAAAGAACAGGTTGTGAAGCTACAGGCTAGTGTGCATGTGCTGAAGGACTGGGCAGGCAAGGGACCCGCCTCTCTGACATTCTCTGGGGCAGGCCTAGAGCGCGTGACTGCAGGGGGTTGTTTAGAATAGATATCCTTCTGGAGGAGGGTGCTGGTCACAGGAACAGGCCACTACGAAGGAAGGTCCCTTTCTTCACTATCTTCAAAGACAGATGACGACACTGTCTGGCAGGGTGGGGTTGTGGCCCAGCCTGAAGCCAGGCGAGGGGGCAAAGTGGCTCAGAGGGCTTTCTCAGGTATCAAGAATCCCAGCCCCGTGGGCTTGCAGGATCTTTCTCTCCAAAGAGAACAAATTACCCCACTTTCGAATTGTTCATCTTCGCCCACTTTTCTCTGATGGGGGGAAAATTGGGCTGCACATTTTCCAGAGGAGGAAATGGAGGCAGAGAGAAATGTGCCAGATGATGTCATCTGAAGAGAAGCCTGCCTCCCCACATGTAAAGTACCCTAGACCAGGAGTTGGTAAAATCTTCAGCTTCTCGGACCCTCTGGTCTCTGTGGCGACGCCTCAGTTCTGCCGCCGTAGCTGTTCCAGGTAAACCTAGCTATCGGTTTGCTCCTGGGCACTTGGAGATGCCCTGGCAAGGACACATGTGGTTTCTGTCCTGAGGACTTGGGATTACTTCCAATTCCACAAGGCCATGGAACAGGAGCAAGTGAGTGGGGCTATGCAGGGAGGACGCGGTCAGCGTTCCTGGTTTGAGACCGGGAGTTTTTGATTTCTTACCACAGCGACTGCGTTTGATGCCAGCAGCTCCTGGGGGGACATTGCAGTGACATAAGCGACATTGGCAAAGACATACACAAACGTGACCAGTGGGATGGAGATGAAGATGGCTCTGGGAAGGTTCCTGTAGAGGGAGAGGAGGTGAGGGGAAGGCCTGGCATCCGGACACCCACCATACCATGGGACCCAGGAAGTGCCTTCTGTCTTTGCATAAGGCTGACCTCGCAGCCTTTAAGAAGGCTTCTTCTCCTTGGGAGGTGGGTTTTGTTTCAACTGGGCAGGATAATTTAAAGTATATGAAAACAGCTTAGGCTAGAAATGTCCTCCACGCTTGTTTCTCTCTCCTTGACCCAAATTTCCACAATGCCCTCTTCCCCCTGCTCAAGACACAAAGACCAGCCTGTCTAGAAGTAGGTAGAATGCCCAGAAGCCTCTCGGAGCACTTTCATTCTCTAAGCCAGTGGTGTTATCTCAGCACCACTGTGGCTCTGAGATGGGCACTGGACCACCTTCTCCTCCTGGCAGGATGAGTAACAAATGGTTTACGTTCTGGGAAATGGACTACTACCTCAAGACGACCAGATCCTAGTTAGAATGGGGGCTGGGGATAGAGAAGCAGGTAGTGGGCCCCAGTTCTGACTCTCCACCAGCAGTGCTGTGGCCTTCCAAGGGAGGAAGAGCTGGGCTTCTTTAACTTACTTGTAGGGATCAACCAGTTCCTCGGTCACGTAATTAAGAAAGTTCCAGCCCCCGTAGGCGAAGGAGCCTTGAAGGAAAGCCAGTGCGATGAGGCCGATGTCTGGTTTTTGGAAATTCTCAAATGCATTCTTTGGCTCCAACCAGAAGTATTCTCCTGTGGATACAACAGGAAGGGGACTGCTCAGAAAGACGAGTCAGAGGCCGAGCAGCACCTGGCCTGCCTTCTTGCCCCAACCTGCAACAATGATGCCAGCTCTGACTGGTCTCCAGTGAACCCTATGTACAGGAGAAGCAGGGCTAAAGAGCAGGGAAATAGAGGTCCAAGACCTCCCAGAGCTTGGTAACTTTGAGTTCAAATGGGCACAGCTCTTAATGCTCTTCTTCTTTAATTTGCCGGAGGATGTGTGCATTTGCCAGAGAGAGACCAAAAGAAAGAGACAGAGACCAGTAGAGTGGGAGAAACACTCCCATGGGCCGTGGTCATGCCACAATTCCTTCTCCTCCATTTATTCATCCTTCTGAGATTTTCGGCAGGCACACACATGTGCCTGGAGTGTTTTTCAAGCCACTGGGTCAAGGATTCTAACTGTGTGGTCAGTCATATGGGACCCAACTCCTTTCGCCACTAGGCCATGGGGTTTGCTCCTGAATGTTCTTTTCTAAAAGTCAAAATTCCTTGGAAGGCAAGACCTGGCTAAATTGGGAGGCTGGCTTGCTGAGCTTTGGAGACAAATGATTAGTCACTGGCAGTCTCCTGACACCTTCTGTGATACCTACGTTTGTACACTGGCATGAAAAAGGCATCGAGAACACCACCTCCAAGGGAGCTTCCATAATGCTCTGTGGTCTCCCTTTTCAGGGTATTGACTCCCTGAGGACAAGGATCCTTAGCAAAGAACTCCTGGCCAGCCCTTAGCACTGCGTCCTACACACGTGGGCTCTCGGAAAAGGTGACTGATTGACCAAGGTTGTAATAAGATACAGTTACTGAACATATGTTTTCATCTGTTATTCCAGCATTTGGACAGGAAGTCAGGAGATTAGAGTGACCAGGAAAAATAACTGAGACCAGATTAGGAGGGACTCCCTATCTCTGAAAAGATAGCAGAGTGACCGTCTTAAGTCTAAATTCCTGAGCATAATAGAACTTGCTAAAGAGCTTAATCCAGCCGACTGAAATAATCAGGCACATTGTATAGCAGAAACTTCATTTTGTTTCCTGGAGTCAAAATCTGGACTCCCTACACTGCCTGTAGGGCTTGTGGAGGGTGGGAGGTCTCCCTGCTTGTCATCTGACTTTCTCTCTGAGGCAGTGACACTGGGCAGAGTCTAGTGGTGCCATGGGTCCCATGGAAACCAAACACAGACTCAGGCTTGGAAAGGACCAAATCCAGTGGGGAATGTTGGCAGGGGCCCCGGGAATGCAGAGCTCTCTCTTGCAGAGATTATGAGTAATTCTGAAACATAGGAAATTCTCCTCCTCTATCCTCTGTTTTAAGATGTGGACAAGAAACAATATAAGATGCAAAAAGTATCCCTGGGGTTGGCGCAAAAGGGCAATAGAATTCCAGAGATCTGAGGTCTTCACCTTGCTGTGCTAGAGCCATGAGGAGCACGGGAGGAATGGCCTTGCCGACACAGGAGTATTTCCTGCTTCCAAACAGCCTTTTGAAAACGGTTTCTCATCCTCTTTGCTGGGGACCAGTAGATGGTGTAATGGTTATGTTGCTGGATTCCCACGTAGTTGACCGTGGTGTGAGTCCTGGACCCGGCGGCTTAAAACTCACGCCGGGTGTGGTGTGCGTATGTGCCCAAAATCTTGAGAGGAGAATGGAGAAGGAATTGCAGTGTGGCCATGCCCCCTGGGGGGGGGTGATTTCTCACTTTCTGTCTCTCCAGCAAGCGCATGTGCCCTATAGCAAAAAAAAACCTCTCTCTCTCTAAAAAAAAAAAAGGGAAAGCAAAGCAAAAGCAAGTGAAATCACTCAAGGCCAGAGTTGGGAAATTTCAGGGTATACGTATTTCCCAAGTGTGGTGTGTGGATATGCAAGGGGGTGGGGGGAAGAGTCAGGCAGGCCCTGTTCTCAAGCTACTCACCTTTGCCTATCTGTACAGCCCCCATGATAATGATCAGGGCCAAGGCCAAGAGCTTTCCAGCTGTGAAGACATCTTGGACCCGGGTGGCCCACCGCACACTGGAGCAGTTGACCCATGTGAGAAGCACTGAAACGACAGACAACCACATGTACAGTCGGGGGCCATGTGAGGTCGCCTAATGCCCTGTGCACAGAAGCAGAAATGCTCCTTGCTCTTGATGACGGGATCCAAATACCTTGCCAGCTCAGCCCCAGCGACTAGAAACTTTGGCTGGGTTAATGGGTTACAAATGAGGATTACAGGCCCCAAATTAGAGCGTGGTCAGAACATGCCCTGCCTAGGGGCACAGAAGCCAGAAGTAGGCATGGAAATGTAGGCACTGGTTTGGGGGGAGATCAGCATCAGAGGACTGGATGGTGGTGCAGTGGTAAAACGCAATGCTCTGTGAGGCTGACCCACATGGGAAGGTTCCGGGTTCACAACTGGAGACTTCCTGAGTGTGCCAGGCATGCACACAAACCACGATCCAGGGTTGTCTGCGGGCATATCATGACATCAAGCCCCTACTGGGGGTGCTGTCTGTCTGTCTCTTTCTCTCTCTCTCTCTGTTTCTCACTCATGGAATAAATAAATGCACTTAAAGAAGAAAATCAACATAGTGACCAATAGTTGGTGTAATGTCTATATTGCTGGACTTCCATGTAGTTGACCATGGTTCGAGTTCCAGACCCAGTGGCTTAAACTCACACTGGGTGCATGTGCGTGTGTGCCCAAGATCCTGAGAGGAGAATGGAGGAGAAGGGATTGCAGCGTGGCCATTCCCCCTAGGTGGGTGATTTCTCGCTTTCTGTCTGTCTTTCTGGTGAACACATGCACCCTATAGCAAAAAGTTCTTCTCACTCCCCAAAATAATCAACATTTGATCAGGCTATGAGTGTAGGCTTTGTCTTCAAGTCATTATCTGTTCAAGGTAAGCCTTGAACAGCTGGTAGGATCTTAGATATCATCTTCTTGAGTCTGACTGTGGAGCAACAAAAGTATAATTAATTACTCGGGTTTACTGAGGTATAACCTACATCTAGTAAGTTCACTTTTATTTGTTTTTTTTTTAAGTGGGGTATGGCCATGCCACAATCTCTTCTCCTCCATTCTCTTCTCTGAATTTTGGGCATGCAAACACACACACCCAGCCACCATGTCATCAGCTAGCCCTTAAGTGTATTTCTTGAAAGAGAGAGAAGGGAGGACGAGGAGGAAAGGAAGGAAAGATCTAGGGAGGGGCACCTCCAGTAGGGTCTTCACGCTGTGGTCCACCTCAGCCGGCCTAGATCACAGGCGTGTGTGTGCCCAGCAGGTCCCACCTGCACAGGGAGGTTCCAAACGCAAAACAAGGACCTTCTCATGTGGCTCCAACATTGCAGAGCCTTACGTTACCACTATGCCATGATCTGTCCCCAAATTTCACTTTTTTTTGGGGGGAGGTGAAGGTTTTTGCTATAGGGCGTGTACACATGCCAGAGAGACAGAGAGACAGAAAGCGAGAAATCATTCCCAGGGAGGATGGCCACGCTGCAATCCCTTCTCCTCCATTCTCCTCTCGGGATCTTGGGCACGCACGCACACACACCCAGCATTGAGTTTAAGCCACTGGGTCCAGGACTCAAATCGCAGTCCACTACATGGATGTGAGTTATGCCAACTGTTGGTCCCCCAAATTTCACTTTTTTAAGTGTACAGGTTATGAGATTTGACAAACATATTTAATTAATTTATCACCACCACAGTCAATACACAGAACATTTCTGATATTCCAAAAATTATCTTATGCATTATGCTCCTTCGTAAGCAATCTTCCCCTACCTCTGGCGACTACTAATTTGATTTCTTTTTTGCTAGAGAGTACCTGTGCTTGATACATGTATAAATAGAGAGAGAGGGAGGGAAAGTAGGAAAGCACTTCTCTCCTCTCTGTCCCTCTCATGCACCCTATGACAAAAAAAAAAAAAAAAAAAAAAAAGGGTAAAGAAAGAACTTATCATGGGGGCATGGTCACACCACAATCTTTTCTCCCCCTTCCTTTTGGGACTTTAGACACATGTGCATGCACACATACATACCCAGCATGTCTGGCAAGCCACCACCAGGTTCGAGACGAACCATGAAGTCAGCCATGTGGGATCCAGCAGCCTTTCTACCATGCTATCAGCTGGTTCCACTAATTTGATTTCTGTCCCTGTGGTTTTGCCTTTTCCAGAATGTTACATAAATTAAATCATACAATATGTGACCTTTTCTGTCTGGTTCTTTCAGTTAACATAATGCTTTTGAGATTTTTCATGTTCCTGCATATATTAGTGAATTGTTCCTTTTGATAGTCAAATAATAGCGTTCCATTATATGAATGTATCAGATTGTTCTTCCATTCACCAGCTGATGGGTATTCAGGTTGCTCTCAGTTTGGGGCTATTATGTGAACAAAGCTGCTGTAGAACAGGGAACAGTTGCACAGAAGCCTTTGTATGGACCTTGGCAGTCCTTGAGTGGGTTTTTCGTTTCTCTTGAGTAAATACTCAGGAATGAGATTCTAGGTCATATGTTCAATGTATGTTTAACTTTATAAAACTATCAACTGTTTTCCAAACTGGTCATCTCATTTTGATTGGAAAATGCCAAACTGGCATTCCAATCATTCCAATGTATGAGTTTCTATTGTTCTGTATCCTAGCCAGCATTTGGCATTGTCAGTTTCAAAAATGTAGCTGTTCTAATAGGCACACAATAGTTTACCCTAGTGACTAAGGATGTTGAGCAACTTTTCATGGGCTTAATCCTCACCCACTTGTATATCTTCTTTGGTGATATGAGAGTTATTGTTGTTGTTTAAAATAATTATTTGTTTGTTTGTTTGTTTAATTTATTTTTAATTTTGACCAGAGAGAAACAGAGTGAAAAAGAGAGAGAGGGAAGGAAAGTGAGAAAGCAGTTATGAGAGGTTTTAACTCTGCCTTCTCACCTCGGAGTCACGGAGCTCCCACAGAGATCCCAACAACATGGAACCTCCAAGCTCAGAGGCAGAGTACTAGGGAGGGAGAGGCTCTCACTACCGTACTGCCACACTGGCAAGAATGGACCAGAGCTCTGTGCTCCAGGAGCAGACTCTCAAGTGTCCTGATGGCTGGGAAGTACTTAAGAATAGAAGAGGGGAAAATGAAAATCCTCCTGTTTCCCCTTCTCCTGAAACAGTGACCAGGACATCCCCTAGTCCTCAAAAGGTAAAAAAAATAAATAAATAACAGGGATGGGAGGGAGGGAATCAGGAAAGAAAAAACAAAACATTTAGTAGATACAAAACTGCAAAGTTATCTGTTGATGATAATGTATATGGTAAAGTCTTGACTTGACTAATGTGTACCTAATTCATGCTGGGAAAAGCCATGTTGTATACTGTAAAGATATACAGTGATTAGGGCCAACAGGTGGCATACACAGGTTATGTCACTGGACTCCCACACGGTCAACTGCAGTTCAATTCCTGGACCTGGTGGCTTGAAACTCATGCCAGGCATGTATGCCCAAGAACCTAGCAGAAGAATGGAGAAGAGATTGCCGCATGGCCATCCCCTCAAGGGGTGATTTATCACTTTCCCTCTCACTGTCTCTCTCTGGAGAGCACACACACCCTAAGACAAAAAACCCTTAAAAAATAAGTAAATAAAAGAAAAAAATAATAAAAAAGATGCATAGTGATCAAATATAAATAAATTTTTTAAAAAAGGTATAAAAAGCATGAGACTATTTCTCTCTTCTAGCCTCCGACTGGGACTCTGAGTTTACTTGACCGACTTGTATCACTGGCACCTTATTTTTAAACTGTACTTTTATTTTCCAAGTATTTCCCTGTCTTACTTGATTCTGAGACCATTTTAGCATGGTAGAAATATCCGTAACCTTACTTCGTGCAGTATTTCCACTTGGCGAACTCCTTCTCATCTTTCAAGCTCAAATATCACCTATTCTCTAAGCCTTTATCATTTTATTTATTCCTAACTACCTGACTACAAAGTGAGACATATCAGCCACATTACAGAGAAAGAACAAAGTTTATTCCTCCTCTCTAGAACAAGCCTAGACCATTTTGTTTACATCTAATTTTGGCATTAATTACTTTGTATTCAAACCATTTCTTTTTATTCCCCTTCTTTTCTTGTACAGTAGGAAGGCAGGGACTTTTTTTGGTGGTCTTAATTCCAGAGCCTATCTCTGGTGCCTGCAAATGATAGGTGCTTAACAAATATTTAATAAATGAATAAAGAAGATGTCATAATTCATTAGCCCTCCAATCTCACTCAGTCTGTCAATCTCTGCTGCTCTCCAGGAATCTCATCACAAGGAGACACACTCCCTCGCTAGTTTCACAGAGCGAAAGAACAACAGGAAGCTTGACTTCATGAGCAGAAATTCTTGACTCCTCACAGAGGGGCCGTTATCCAAGATGGTGTCATATAAGGAGGGTCAAAACATGTTGTCAGAGGAAGGATTTCAAGAGGCTGAACAGGGAGAACATTCTGTAAATACTCGAAGGTTCTAGATGGACTGAGACATCCTGATAAATACCCATCTGGTTTATCTTACTCAATTCAATAAGGGTTTCAGGATCATGCGCCTGGTGACAACCATCCAAGTCACTCTAAACAACCAAGCCCGTGATCTCAGCTTCTCTCCAGGGCCAAGCGACATGCTTGGGATGAGCCTGGGCTTCGGAACCCAGGAATTCAGGCAGACACAAGCAGTGATGACTAAAAGAGACGGAAAGGAAGGAAGATTAGAAAACAAAGCCCCGGTGTCTCAGAGATAGGTAAGGGTTACGGAACACGTAACTAAACGTTGATCTCGGAGAAGAGAATCCTCCTCCACCAAGGGGAAGAGAGGACGTGGTGGGGAGGTGACAAGATCGTGTCTGAGGACAATGAGGGCAGAATAGGACAACTCGAATTCTTTCTCCAAGTAGGAGGGAGGGTACGTGGCCACCTCCCTGTGCATTGGGATAGAAAAATAAAAACGCTTCTTACAAGACAGATCTGGCCAAGATTCCTTTAAACTGTCAATTCTACTGAATCCCAGGGGTG